GCAGTGGATGTTGTTTACCTTGACTTCAGTAGGACTTTCAACACTCTCCTCTAATGTCCTTATAGACAAAGGGATGAAATACAAGCCAGGTAAATGGATAGTGAGATGGACTGAAAGCTAGCTGAACTGCTGGGGTTGGCTGTGAGGGTTGTAATGCACCTCGAGGACAGTGACTAGTGGTGCACTACAAGGGTCAGTCCTGGGGCCAGGACTGCTTCACTTTTTTATTAATGACATGGATAATGGGACAAAAAGCACTCTCAGCAAGGTGTCAGATTATACGAAGTTGGGAGAAGGGGTTGACATACGAGATGGATGTGCTGCCGTTCAAAGGGACCTTGACAAGGAAAGAACAAGTCTTTCACTGGAGAGGAATAAGCCCATGCACCAATACATGCTGGGGGTGTGAAAAAGCAACTGAAAAATGACTTTGCAGAGAAACATTTTGGGCTGCATGGTGAAGGGTGTATACTGGAGGATTGTGGTTGTTCTCATCTGTTCTTCACTGGTAAGGCTGCTTGTGGAGTCCTGAGTTGTCCTGTTCTAGGCTCCCCAATACAAGAAGGGCATGAACATACAGGAAAAAGTACAGCAAAGGGCCAGGAATGAAGAGAGTCTGAGAGAGCTGGGACTGTTTAGCCAGGATAGGGGAGGCTCAGGGAGATCATGTACATATGTGATGAGAGGCTGTCAAGAAGACTCTTCTCAGTGGTGGCCAGTGATAGAATGAGAGGCAGTGGGCACAAGAAGTTATATTTGAACAAGGGTGTTGGGCCATTTGATTTCGAGGTGTTCAGTCTCTGTTGCAAATGATTGTGAGTTAAAAAAAAAAAGAAAGAAAAAAGAAAAAAGGAATGGCTCAGCTTTGGGTGTTTTTGTTTCATTTTTTTTCTTGCTTCCATATCTGTGGTTGGATCTCACAAGTTTTATCACCGACTTTAGTGGGAGTAGAATTTAACCTTCAGAAATACTTCTGTCTAATAAATGTTAATGTACTAGAAAAAAATGTCACATTCAGTTTAGTGATTTTTCTTTAAGTGGGTTCTTTTTTGTATGTGTGTGTATATGTCTTTTGGTTGTTTGAACATATTATTTAATGCAAGTGCGGTCTTTTGAGGTGCCTGATAAAAGTTCTATTAAATTTGCCAGAGGCAGGATTTTACCTCTGAAATTCTAATCATTTTCTATGTAGGATTTTAGAGGAAAAGGTTTGTGTGAATCCAATATTTAAAATGATTTTTTTTTTGTATTCTAGAGTCTAACTACACTGTCTGACAGCATTGATCAGAAGCATAGCACACAGGAAACATTTCCTGTCCAGGAAGGTCCAAGTTTGCAAATACTTGTATGCAGTGAAGCTAAGGGTATTAAGTTACAGTACGTCAAAAGCATATAATACTTTGCTTTAAAAGTATTATACCAAATTATATTGCCAAAACACTTGAAGTAATTACACTGATTTTTATTCTTTCAAAAGGTAACAATAAAAGAAGACAACCGGGGTTTGGGAGAGCCATTTCTGAAAGTGAGAAATCTTCTAAATTGGAATGCTGGATTAAGAACAAAAACAAAACAATCCATAAACCGAATTTGAAGGTTCTGCTATACTTTTTTTTTTCTTCCTTTTTTTTTTTTGGTCTGAATTCTGAAAATCTTCTGAAGAAAAGGGGTATCTTAAATGATTAATCTCAGAAATACTTAGGACCCCAATACAGTGCTGGCTACTAAATCAATCTAAAAAAGCTACTAGCTGTTAAATCTTTTGGTCACGCTAAAAAGCCTGCAAAGGCCATGTAGTGCTATGGGAAGCTTAGAGTTGTCTTAATGTAAAATTTCATCCTGTTGGACTTGGTTGCATTATTATAGTTCAGAGGGTGATGGCTAAATGTGTTACTTGTCGCAGATAAATCCACTTTATGCCAAGCATAAAAATAGTTATTTTAGAAAGTATAAATATTATCATGTCTTTCAAAAAAGTTCTCTTTCACTAGGTGAGTAAAAATTGTATTTTGAGGGAACACTTCTCTGTCTGTGAATCTGAGTTCTTAATGCTCAGTGAGATACTGAAGGTCTTAAAAGCTTAAAGCTTGCAATTCTCTTTGATCTGTTCTGTTTCCTTCCTGGGAAGGCTACAGAGATGCGCATAACTGCAGAAAGTTGTCAGCTTGTCTTTCAAGGATAGTAAAATATTAGGCTGAGGTTCGCCTCATCTAATTTGTTGCAGCAACAGTGATGATGTGTATCCCTAGAGGTAACTAGGCTGTCTTTACTGGCAGAGGAAAGAAATAGCTATTTCTGTGGCATGGTTCATTTTAGAGTATGTATCTCAAAAGGATCATGTGAATCACATTCTGGAAATGCTTCTTATAGATACTAAAAATCAAGTCAGCTGAATGTTACTCCTAAAGAATGCTGTCATATATGTGGATGCTTAAAAGCCTTGAGGCTTAGTGACTGAGAGGTGATTCAGATGAGGTTAAATGTGGTAGTGGTGTGACTCAGTGCTCTAAATTTCCTGGAAACCTTGGAATATGACTGTGGAGGAGAGCTGTTGTGGCCATGCTGGTGATGATGCAGAGCTTCAGTTGGTAGAAAATTGAGTGTTCATATTTTCTTTTTAGATCTGTTGCCTATATTCTATATTCTAATACCAGTAGCAGACTGACCCAAGCGTTAGGCCTGTGAAAAGTGTGGTAAAAAGCGGTCAAGGCATCTGTGCTTGTATGACTAGTGTAGCAGAGGTGCACTTAGCATTCACCCTGTCTCACTTTGGCTCTTTCATTCTTTACTGTGGGATTCACTGCTGTGACCTAATTTTGCCATAGTTATTCTTAGCAGCCACAGAGCACTAAATTTTACCTTGCATTTTTATTTCAAAGTCTTTGTGGAGTTGTGATGAAGCATAGGCAGTAGTACTAGGAGCTAGTGATAATCAGCTTCATATCCCTATCTTAAGTTGGATACTGCTGTCTAACTCTGGAGGTTGAATGGAATTTGGGCATACAATTTTTTTTCTGGCCTTATTTTCTATTTGAATGCATCCTGATAGATGGAGATAATTTTACAAATTCTGTACTTGTGACTTATTGATATATATTTTTTTACTTTTAGTCCTGTGCTGCTACTGAGTGATACAACAAAAAAGAAAGGAATGCTGTCAATAGTATCATTCTCTTTCCCAGTTTATATTGCTGGAACAGGCTTTCATGAGCTAGACAGAGTGCAAAGACATGACAGGAGCAAAGGTTATTTGTACTTCATGGTTTCTGTTAGTTATGTATTTTTTGGATAATATGGTGCTAGTTTTTGAGTCTATAGAGCCTTAAGTGATTTGTAATTTTTGTCTGCTTAGACACAATGTGTAATCTAATATTAAGGCATGTAATTAGTTAAGGAGTTCAAGCTGAAATTCCTGTTGGTATGAAGGAGAATAAATTGCTAAGAGAGTTGCTGAACAATTTTGTGAAGAACAATTAATTTGTCAGTAGTCTAAATATGGTAACTCTGACACTCCTAACAGTCATAGTTATGGTATTGCTATATTGCTGTAATAGTATTGATAGTATTGTTCTAGTAACAGAACTGTAGTGAATAAGGCCTTGAGTGACATTTCCTCTCCCAGTACTATCATAGAAAAACTGTAGCGACAGCTCAGCTTCAGAAAATGACTGTCAGTCTGCAATATTGAAAGCTATATCACACCTGAGTCCAAATGGGAGCTTATGCTGCATGTAGAGGGGACACTGAAGAAAGCTGCTGATCAAAGCCTAAAAAGAATAATAAGTTACTTAATTTTTTGTCCTGAAGATAAAGGATCTGACTCTCCAGTGTCTGGGTCACTTCAAAGTTAATCTATTCAAAATAATGCTAGCAGTGCATATATTTTTGATTTGTTAATATTCTGTACTGATTTTTTTCAGTAAGTTAAAACAGACAACCAGTAAGTCTAAATTAGTTTTCATTATGAAATATTACCTGCAAATCCCTCATGATGAAATATAATTCTTTATTCCTCCTGGTCCCAGTAGACTGAAAAACTGAAGAAGAAAATACATGATGTAAGGACAATACGTCATGCAACTGCATGATTGGAAGCAGGTGGCTCCAAGTCAAGTGGACAGTTTGACATGTAAAAATGGCCATCTACATAAAGAATTTGCTGTAACTGACACACACTCTGAGCAGCTGGAAAAACAACTCCTGTTCACTCCCACTGATAAGATTGAGGAAGAAAAGGTATCTATTCATTAGGATTAATATTGTGGAGTAGACCCTTGGGGCTGAATTTCTAAAATTCATCTCTACTTTCAGGATTATTTACTGGGAGGAAGGAAATGTAAGTTCTGGACTTTTTTTTAATAAAGAATGTTTGAAAGATGAAAATCTCATTTGTGTTTAGAAGAATGTAATTTCAGTCACAGCTGCTTTTGATTTCATGGTATAATGGAAAATTGCATTTTATGCACATATAATTACATGATTTACTTGCAATATTTGGATGGAAGAAAGGATGTTCTTTGTTTGCCATTAATGCAACTACATACTTATTTCTTTATTCCCTAGCTGTAGTCAGGCTGTCCAATTTTCAAGTTTCCTGGTAAAACAAATCTGGTGAAAGTTATCCTATGCTTCCTTTTCTTTCACTCACCTGAGTATAACTCATCATACTCTTTTTTCTTGGATCTGGACTGTATCTGAAGACAAAAATCAAATGATCAATTAAGTTTGCTCTTGCTAAATAGCATGTTTTCAGCCTGGCCAAACTAGAAAATATGTCCAATTTTTTTCCTTCAGACTAGAATGATTAAGCTAATTATATAAAAAAATGCATCTTTCTCTCAATTTTTTGCTAGATTCAGGTTATTTTAGAAACAGAAGCTGAAAAAAAGCAAGGGGAATCACCTTCAGGGTTTGATGCCTTAAGTAAGACACTGCAAGAGGACAGAGACCACTGTAAAAGTGAGGTGGAGAGTTTGCAGAAGAAACACATCTTCAAGACACTTAGAAACACATCTTCAAGTCTTAAGCAGAAGCCTAATTGTGGCAGAATGTCAAAAAGATTTTCAGCCATCCAGGTGAGTTTCGAAAACACTGTAGGACAGGGCTGCCTTTTTTTTTTTTTTTAAGATTCCTTTACATCATGCCAAACTACCACAAGTACAATGCCAGTAAGAAAAACTAACTGACAGAAGGTTACATATGATAGGAAACAGCCAATAATATGTAGCTAATTGCTGCTTCACTGGGAAAAGTATATATATATATCTATGTATGTGTATCATTTATATTTTAAATATTTAAGATGATAGGACAATTTTGTGATGACCTTTTGCTCTTCAAAATAAATATATATTTTAGAAAATGGTAAAATGTTTTATATATCTGCACTCCAATACTAAGAAAGATGTATGTACAGCCTTGATTGTCTTTAATTTTTTAAGTTGTAGGATCATTAAATTCCAAACCAGAAATACTAAATAAGCGTATCTCATTTTGTTTTTCTCTACTTTAACCTTACATAAAATTATTCTTTAAGGGAGCAAGTTCTGATCCAGAAATTTTGAAAATATTGAGAGAGTGTGAAGAACATAAGTCAATACTGGAAAAATATGAGCGCCATGTGGCAGAAATTCAGGGTAACATCAAGGTTTTAACAGCTGAAAGAGACAAAATTGTCAATCTTTATGAACGGGTAATTTTATTTATATTAGTGTGACTAATGAAATAACTTAAGGTGATGTACAAAAAATCTTTTTTTTTAATAGACTGCAAGGCATTTCTATTAAAAAAGTTTTGAAAATTCTGTGATTTAAGTCTCACTTAAATACAATTTTATAAGATTTGAGTAAGAATTATTTCCTGAATCAAAGAATGTATGCTTTTACTTTGTTTTGCTACTCTTCAATTTCCGAGATGCTCTGCATTATCAGATGTGTATTTCATTACTAATTTCAGTTATAATTTTTCCCCATACCAGAACATTTTACAATAGTGAAGTTCAAAACAAAAATATTTCTACCAACCACCTGAAACGGTGCTTGGTACTGAACAGTCTCATGAATACTACAGGTTAAGTTTTTTGCTCTTTTTCTCTGCTGCAAACCTATTTCATTGTTAAAAATGAAATCTTTCGTGATGTGAATTAAAAAGATAATGAGCATTTTCCTCCCTGATGATTGCTTTTTGCAAGCTTTCTGGAATGAAAAGAAGTACTGAGTAGTTCACATAGGAATTCTGTAACCAATCCTGTCTGTAGTTTATGTATGCAGTAACACCTTTCAATGGCTACTGCTTATTTCCAGTATACTGTTGTTTTTAATAACAGGCACAGGAAGAGATATCTCGCCTTCGTCGGGAAGTTATCAAATGCCCCAAGAGTACTAAAAACCCGGTGACAGCTCAAGCTATCCTAAGGCGTGTGGAGACAGAAAGGGATACGGCGCTGTCTGATTTCCGAAGAATGACTACGGAACGCGACAGCCTCAGGGAGCAGTTAAAGGTTTTTTTTCACTCAAGCTTATTTTAACATGAAAGTTATTTAGCAGTGTAATTAGAAATAGTAAAGATTTCTATTCTAATATTGAGATGTAATTACATTATGTGTCTGTGGTGAGTTCTGACTTTTTCTGTGTTTTTTTTGTTGTTGTTTTAAATGGGTACTTGCAGATTTCTCAAGAGATTGCATTTAACGAGAAGGCTCACTTGGAACAGAGAATTGAAGAGCTGGAAACAACAGTTCAGAATGTAAGGGAAAGTGGTTATTTATGAAACTGTAAATGGAATCCAGATGATATTTGTGGTTAATCTTGGAGAACCAAACTGTTCAGCAGCACAAACAGCACAAACTGATGTTGTGATCTGGATGAGTGGACAAACGGATGGGGAAAAAAACTTGGTTGGCTCAGCAGGTTAATGCTGTGGATCATATTTTGCCTGGATGCTGGTAATGTGGAGTACCCGAGGGTTCTGTCCACAGGCCTGTCCTGTTAATGTCTGTATCAATGCCCTGAAGGAGGCAAGGGACTGTGTGCTTGCAAAACTTGCAGATGACACTCAGTTAAGGAAGTCAATCAGTGCACTCAAGAACTGAGTTGCCATCCAGAGGTACCCAGGCAGGTGGGCAGAATGCCCTAATAGCAACCTCATGAAATTCAACAAGAACAAATGCCACGTTGAACGTCTGAGGAGGAAGAGCCTCTGTCACCAGTACATGCACAGAATAGATGGTTGGAGAAGAGCTCTTCCAAGCAGCTCTGGGTATCCTGGTGGACAGTGAGCTTTGTATGAAGCCAGCAGTGTGCCCTAGTAGCAAAGAAGTCCTAGAGAACACTGGGCTATATCAACAGGACAGTAGATTGAGTGAAGCGATTGTCTCTCTTTCCCCTATACTTACTGTACCACATCTAGAATTCTGCATTCAGTTTTGTTACCTACAGTACTAAAAAGACATTGCCAAGTTGCAGTGAATTAAGGGAAGGACCCCCTGCCTGGAAGGGGCTGGAGTCCCTTTTGAGCCTCGTGAGAAGAAGCTCAGAGAAATGGGCTTGTACAGCCTAGGGAAGAGGTTACAGGGGCATCTAAGAGCCAGCTGTCAGTACTAGTCTGTCAAGAAGACAGAGCTCTAGCCTTGCAGGTTTTCAAGACTCCTGTGGATTAAGTTGTGAGCAACCTGGTCAGACCTCAGAGCTGGCCTTGCCTTGAGCAGGAGGTTGGATTAGAGTCCTGTAGTGGCACCTTCCTACTTGAACTAGTTTATGATCCTGTGTTGTGAAGACCAGATCTGTAATTGTACAGTACTGCTAAGTCATTTTTAAGTAAATATGGTTTAAGTTACTTATAGGTGCAAGTAGAAAATAAAGGTATTAATAAAATACATCTACATATTAAGTGTATATACAATGTCTAGATTTTAATTTTAAAAAAGATGAACAGTGATTTTTTTTGTAGCGTATCTTTCTCTTAGATCATGTGCTTAGAAAGTGATCACCTTTGTCTTTCCCTTTCAGCCTGTTAAATACTACCACGCTTAAAAATGTAGCTCAGAGATTATAATATTAAACTGTCTGCATCCATAATGAAGAATATATTGTAGGTTTAAATAGTTCTGAGTGTTCTGAGCAGTAAATTAGGTTAAATCATGTACTTCACATACGGTGTGTGGTGTATTTTGGAAAAAGTCCTGTTTTAGCTACATTGTTTTCTGCCTTCAGTTCATTTGGTAACATTTGAGGCTGGTACTTCAATACTGATGAATGCCAGACCTTTTTGTACTTGGGCATAGTTACAAATCTACATGAATAAACCTAAATATTATAGAGATCTAAAAGCTATAGGCAATGGTTCTACTTGAGGGCAAAGCAGGAATCACATTTGGGTTCTTGGTCACCTGCCTTCATCGGGCCCTCTGAATAAGGGAAGCACCTGTAGAGCTGTCCTTCAGGAAAACATTTGTGGTAAAATAGAAGTTGAATTAATAGAAGAAATGCTTTATAGAAATCATCTTTTTGCAACTATTAATATTTAATTATATTTATAGCTAGATAGGGAACGGCTAGAACAAATGTCCAGACTGGCGTTAATGAAAGACACTGTGGAGTCTTTGGAAACAGAGATGAAAACGTTGTCAGGAAGAGCACTAGACTTGGAAACGGAATTGAGCCGACAGAAAGTTGAATATGTCTCACTTAGGTAAGTAAAGATATATAATTACCTCAGTTTAATGAATAACATGAGCTTGTTGGGTTTTGTAGCTGTTATTTAGGTCAAAGCAAAAGGAACTGATGTTGGTTGTTCTTATGAGCCATCCCAATTGAAATGGACTTGCTTTCCTTATGCCTTATTTGCATGTAAAATCTCTTGGCTTTCTTATATTCAAGACATGCTGAAAAACACCTTTAAGTATAAAAATAAAATTCACGCTAACATAGCTTTAGGAACCCTGTTACAGGCTTAACTTAGTGGGTTTTTTGATATTATTGAGTAGGCATCTAACTTCTTAATATAAATTTCTTTCAGTATTTTTGTCTGTTTTACAGAAGCAGGCAAACATAATCAAACTAACAGCTTACATGTTTAGTTAGCTTCAAATGTCCTTTTCTCGGTCTCAGATTGTTTTCAAGAAGATGAAATTAATAGAAGTCTTCCACAAGGTTTGCCTTTAGAGAAGGTAGTCAGTAAGTGCAAGTTAGAAAGGAGAATTTACTTAGTGGAGGTGAAGATCAAGCGTTTGTGAAACTTGTGCAGAGAGAAGAGGACCAGGTCTTAGAAGCATCTGTGAGCTAGAGTGTGACCAGATTGCAAGAAAAGATGTGTTTCTGAATCTCTTTAAATATAATTCAAACAAATATTTTTCAAATCCA